CCATCTCTGCACCGTCATCATGCACTGTATTCCTGGCGGCTATCGGTGACGACATCGCGCCCGTGTTCGATGCCACAGTTTCGTCCCTCCCCTTCACCAAGCCAGCATCATCGTCAACGACAGCAGGATTCTCTGCGAATTTAAGCGCCTGGTCACCGCAGGACGCTTTCAGTGGGCACAGAGGAGCGGCGGCTATGCGGTCGCTTCAAAATCCCTTCTGCTTCATTCTGCAGATTTTGGCCTTCCTTGGGACAGGGCTACCTCCTCCTCGACAGCCAGCCACCATCTCTGCACCGTCATCATGCACTGTATTCCTGGCGGCTATCGGTGACGACATCGCGCCCGTGTTCGATGCCACAGTTTCGTCCCTCCCCTTCACCAAGCCAGCATCATCGTCAACGACAGCAGGATTCTCTGCGAATTTAAGCGCCTGGTCACCGCAGGACGCTTTCAGTGGGCACAGAGGAGCGGCGGCTATGCGGTCGCTTCAAAATCCCTTCTGCTTCATTCTGCAGGTTCGTAAATACCCATCTTTTCACGTTAAACGATCCTGTAATGGCTTTCTGCTGCTCCTCCAGTGCCCGCTGGTTTTTCTTAGAATTGCTTATATGTGTGTTCACGTTTTTAAGTTACTTTTGTTGTCCGGGGACGTTGAATTAAACCCCGGCCCTATCACTAACGCTGATATTCTGGCTGCCATTGCTGAACAGTCTTCTAAAAACGATGCGCGTCATACCGAAATGGTTGACATGCTAAATCAGGTCAAAGATAACCAGCATCAGCTAGAGCTAAAAGTGTTATACATCAATTCAATACTTGCAGCAGTCGAATCACTTGTAGAATTACTAGATGTGCCAAAGCATCCTACTGAACTGTCTAATGTTGTTAGTGAGGCCGTCCGAGGTGAAACTACCGTTCTGAATTCAAGACTTAATGAGCTTGAAGATAGATCCCGTCGTGACAATTTACTTTTCTACGGTATCGCCGACACCCTTTCCGAAGACTGGTCGCAGTCAGAATCTCATATCCGCGATAATCTTTCCACAATATTAGGACTAGATCTACCTGGCGAGGCAATATCCCGTGCTCATAGATTAGGCTCATACTCAACTAATAAATGCCGGCCAATAATTGTTAAATTCTCTTCCTCTAAATTCAAGGCGAATGTGTTTTCTCAGCGTTTTAAGTTGAAAGGAACAGGAATTTCAGTCAGTGAGGATTTCTGTCCGGCTACGCGGCAGTTACGTAAAAAGTTAATCGATTTCGGTAAAGGCACCGGTCAGAGGTTCTCGCTCAAACTAAACAGGCTGCACGTTAATCAAAAGGTGTATACTTACTGCCCTGTAACAGATTGTGTTTGCGAAGTGACTCCTAGTCACGCTCGTGAAGCTAACAACGCCGCGTCTCTCCCTCCGGGTGCCAATAATACAGTTTCCGCGCCGCAACCGGGCACCGATAACGCAGTTTCCGCACCTGGTCCAAGCAATTATAATTCACACGCGTCATCAACATAACTATGTAAAGGCCCGGCGACTAACGCTATCTCAATATTGTATTCTAACGTGCGAAGCGTGTGCAACAAACGCGACGCTTTGTCATCTCTTATCGACACGTGTACAGTTGATATTGTTATCCTGACCGAAACGTGGCTTTCTAGTAAAATTGATGACAGTGAAATTTTTGAGTGTGAAGGTATGTACAAATTTTATCGTTTCAATCGTGACTCGCGCTCAGGTGGCGGTGTTCTTATCGCTGTTCGTGATTCTATAATATCGAGCGTTATACCAGTTAACCTATCATTAGAGTTCGTGTGTGCCCGTGTACAGGTCAGAAACAAGGATTTTATTTTTTGCGCCTGCTATCGACCCCCCGCTTCGTCTAGTACATTTTGCTCTGAGCTTCACGATGTCTTAAATAGATTGGTAGTACGGTTTCCTTCTTCGTCTTTGCTTCTTCTGGGGGATTTTAATTTTCCCACAATTAACTGGAAAAGTGACACCCCCACAGTAAGTGATCACTCATTACAGGCTCTTTCGTTTCTAAGCCTTTGTCTTGATTTTAATTTAAAGCAACTTGCACAAGAGCCTACACGATGTTCATCTCATTCTTCCAATGTATTAGACCTCATTCTCACTACAACCCCTGAGCTTGTGTCTCCCTTAACATACTTACCAGGTTTAAGTGACCATTGTGTTATTCAGTTCGACCTGCAGGCATCTGCTTCCTCATATAAAGCATTTAAGATTATTCGTGACTACAGAAATGCCGATTTTGTTTCAATTAATAATGAATTAGACACGTTTCTAACTGATTACATCTCACGTTTTCATACGCGAACGGTTGAAGAAAATTGGTCTCTCTTCAAGCAAAAAGTGAGTGACCTAACTGACCAGTACATCCCTCTGAAGCGCATCCGCTCTAATTCACAGGCACCCTGGTTTAACGCACGCCTTAAGCGTCTGCGAAATAAAAAGAAACGGTTATTTCGGCGCGCAAAATTAACAAAAAGTGCTGAGCGCTGGGACGCTTACGAAGCTGCTGATACGGAATATAAACAAGCTGTCGCACAATCAAAGCAGGAGTTTTATCTGTGTACACTTTTTTCTCTTTTAAAAGATAACCCACGAAAGTTTTGGAGCGTGGTCAGCGGTAGTAGATCCAGTGCGGTTGAGCTTTGTGATGCGAATAATGTTCCTGTAGATCTAAACGATTGTTGCAATGTCCTGAATGATGTGTTTGCTTCTTATTTTTCCCACACGACTCCTACCTGTTACCCTATTGTTTTCAGCCCTAATTATAGTCCTATGTTTCCTGTTAGTATTGATTCATTTGGTGTCGACTGTTTAATCCAGAAGCTTAAAATTTCTGCGTGTGCTGGGATTGACGGAATCAACTCAAAATTCCTGAAGAACACCGCCACCTATTCATCTTTGATTCTTTCCGAAATTTTTTCACAGTCTTTGCAGTGTTGCACGTTAGCCAACGATTGGAAGGTAGGGAAGGTGGTTCCTTTGCATAAATCAGGTACTGCTCACTCCCCACTTAACTACAGGCCCATATCATTGACTAGTGTGCCGTGTAAATTACTTGAACATATCATTTACTCTCACCTTGTTGCCTTTCTCGAGTCCAATTCTTTTTTTACTAATTGTCAACACGGGTTCCGAAAATTTTTTTCTTGTGAAACACAGCTCGTATCGTTTACTAGTGACCTGATGGTTGCCATTGATGCCGGGCTAATAGTTGACTGCATTTTCTTAGATTTTGCTAAGGCTTTCGATTCCGTCTCGCACGACCTACTTTTCTGGAAACTGAGTAAACTTAATATCGATCCTAACATCTTGGGCTGGATTAAATGTTTTTTATCTAACCGCTCTCAATATGTTTCTGTCAATGGGCATAATTCTTCTACTACTCCTGTAACGTCCGGGGTACCACAGGGATCTGTCCTAGGGCCTCTCTTGTTTTTAGTCTACATTAACGACCTCCCATCGCAAATTGTCTCCTCTATTAAATTGTTCGCAGATGACTGTGTACTTTATCGCGTAATTACTAATGCCCAAGAGTGGGCTATACTACAGTCAGACCTCGACGTAGTTTTTTCTTGGTGCGCTGAATCCCTAATGAAGCTTAACGTTACTAAATGTAAAAGCATGCGTGTTTCGCGACTCTCTAAAAACACTGACCCTGCCATATACATCCTTAATTATATACCATTAGATGCTGTTGCTTCATACAAGTATCTTGGTATTCACATAACTCATAACCTTTCCTGGAACATGCACGTCGACTATGTCTCCAATAATGCTAATCGTGTGCTTGGGTTTTTGCGGCGCCATTTTCGTTCCGCTAATCTTCCCGTCAAACTGCAATTATATAAAGCCTTAGTCAGGCCAAAACTCGAATACGCCTGTTCCGTTTGGGATCCGGGTCATGTAACATTATCACACATTCTCGAATCAGTCCAGAACCGAGCAGCCCGTTTTATCCTTTCTAATTATTCTCGTACTGCTAGTGTTTCATCAATGAAGACAACTTTGGACTTACCTGACCTTGCTTTACGCCGTAAATACTTTCGTCTTTGTCTTTTCCATAAAGTCTAATATTCTAATCCAATTCTAAAAGATCAACTACTTTTTCATCCGTCATATGTGTCACCTCGCCACGATCACCAGTGTAAGGTTGGCACGCCGACATGTCATACGAACATCTATTTTGACTCGTTTATTCCAAGAACATCTAGCGAATGGAACCACCTCCCTGCCTCCATGGTGTCCATCCAGGACGTCACATACTTCAAGAAGCTCGCCAACGATTTCATCTGTACCACCCACTCCTCTCTGTAGAGCCTCCGGGCATTGAGAGTATGAAAATAAATAAATAAATAAATAAATATTTTTCCTTATGAAAGTTTTGCTAATAAACTGTGCGTTAAAAAAAGAAAAGAAAAAAAAAATACCAGGTTTCCAGACTAAACTTGTCAGACCAAACAGGTCTCCAAACAGAAAGGAGCGAAAACAGGGCGCGCCATCTATCGGTCTTCTTTTCAACGAATTCCCGCGACGCCGGAGTAGCCACGCGTGTGCTGATCGCTCTAATCCCCACACCCGTTCTCGGCCCTTCCGCCTCCCTTAGCCTTGCCGCCGTGCCCGGCCTTCCCCCCTCTTTCGGCCTCGGCACCCCTCCCGGCCCTTTCGCTGTCGACGGCCTAGCCCCCGCACTCGGCAGTTCCGGCTCGCTCGGCCCTAATCCACGCTTGGCCCTTCCGCGAGGGCCGGCCGAACTGGTAGTGACCCGAGGTCGACACACCCTCCCTGCTCGGCCACTACGAAGAGGGTGAGGGTACTGGAACCATTGACTCTCGAACCGACGAGGCGCGCGGCGCGCTCAAAAGCAGGGGTGCGTACGGCGGGGCGCGTGCAACGTTACTTTCTTGCACGGTACGTGGTCGGATCTCGGCAAATAGCGGCGCGACGGCACGTAGAAAATAGACGCGCAACTCTGGCTCCCGTAGAGAGGCTATACGGGAACTGGTACTCTAGTGCAGCATTGAGATTATAGGCTCCAGCCAGAGTTGCGCGTCTGGTTTCCACGTGCCGCCGCGCCGCTATTTGCCGATATCCGATCACGTGTGCGGTGTGCATACCCCCGCTTTTGCCTCCTCCTGTCCTGCTTTCCAGGAAATGAGGGGGTAGAGCGCGGCGGCCGCTATTCCCCGAATTGAGTCACGTGAGGAGCAGACTTGAAGTGCAGGACAGCCGGAGCTACTGGGATGAACGCGCAACTCCTGACTCCCGTAGGCTGCCTCTGCAGGAACTCTAGGGCAGCATGGAGTTCCTGCGTAGGCCCCCTACGGTAGCCAGGGCGGGGTTGCCAGGTATTTGCAGATTAACCCGTCAAAATTTCCTGATATTGTGCCCAAGAATAGCCAAATGTCGGGCTATAACAATAGCCCAACAAATAAAATTTCATACAAGGTATTTACATCTCTTTGAAACACGGGTAACATGATACATGACATAAGACAATTATTTACAGAAGAAGGCAATAAGAGGATGAAGCGTCCCCATGTATATTTTAGTGCAGCGAAAGAAGGGGGTTCTCAAACATCCGTTAAGCTGCCCCCACCCTCCTTCCTCCCTCCTTCTGGAAACACGTGCATCCACCCCTGCCTGCGGTATTAAATCGTGCCAAAAAACTTCAGAAAAACGATATTGCACCTCCGCAACCAACACCAATGAGGGTCCACATATTGTATTTGCACGCTTGTGATTTGGATATTTTCCTTTCCTAACCTCTTGAGTTGATTGTTTTTCTCTACCTGGCGCAGAAATATCATGTTTAAGGCTTTGAAAATTGTTGAATATCGGGTATGAAATAGCTAAATAGTCAACCACCAGATTTTCCTGCCTATTACAAAACTGAGTAGCCCGATTGGGCTGTTTATAGCCCAACCGGCCAACCCTGAGCCAGAGCTGCGCGTTCACCCCGGAGCACCGGCTTTCCTGCAGGGGACGAAATTCTGCTCCTCATCTCACTGGATTGGGCGAACAGCAACGTGCTCCTTCTCCTTTCCTGAAAAACAGGAAAGGTGGAGGAGACAAAAGCAGGGGAACGTACGCTGAGGAGATTGCAACGTCGGCGAAACGGCCGTATCGGCGGCTTTCCTGCGCAGTATTTGGATTTTGCTCCTCACATGATCGGATCTAGGCGAATAGCGGCGTGTCAGCGTGTGGATAACAGACGCGCAACTCTGACTCCCGTAGAGAGCCTATGCAGGAACTCTAGGACAGCATTCACCAGCTTCGGTGTGTGCGGTGCTCAGTTTGGCGTTACTTTGAGAGCTCTATTCGGAAACATGTGCAGTGGCTGTACCCGCGGATGCTAACTTTTGCGAACCTCGAGTTTGGCTAACTTTGAATTGTCATGTTGGTACCCTACTTGTCAGACTCTTTCTTGGGCAAAATTTGTAAAATTAGACTACACGTTTTATTGCATTTTTCATTTGTGAAGCATACTTTGTCACACTACAGCAACAATTAGGTGTCGCATTGTTAATAGTTCAAAAACGCGAGTGTCTCCTTGTGCTTGTAGTCTGCAAGTCATCTCACGCACCTGTGAAGTGTGAGATAACATAAGATGCTTCGTTAGATCACGCGTACTAATGACTCGAATCTCTAACGCACAGGAGTGAAGCTCTGCTGCTAGCACAGATGTCGCCATTGTCTCGAGGCACCGTCTGGCAAGGTAAGCGATCAACTAGCCTGCTGATTTTTGTTTTCTTGTCAGATTGTTAAGCATATATTGTGAAATTAGGCTAAGTGCTTGCTTAGATCACGTGTACTAATGACTTTCATCTCTACTGCACAGGCGAGAGGCTCTGCTTGTAGCACAGTCGCTACCATAGTCCCGATGCCCTTTCTGGGTAGGTAAGCAGCCAACTATCCTGCACTGTTTTTTTTTTTAGTTTGTAATGCATGTATTGTGAAATTGGGCTTGGTGCCTAGCTAGGTCACGTTTACTAATGACTATTTGCACTTAGCAGTGATGCCATCATTGTCCCGAGGCACGTTCTGGCAAGGTAAGCAATTCCCTACCCTGCGGACCCTATTTTCTTTTTTTCTTCTTCTTTACTTGTCAGGCTGCTAAGTAAAATTGTGTGACTAGGCTAGGTGCTTGTCTAGATCACGTATACTAATGAGTAATCTAATGCACAGGCGAGAGGCTCTGCTTGTAGCACAGACTCTACCATATGCCCGAGGCTCTGCCTGGCAAGGTAAGCAATCAACTATGCTGCAGACTGTTTTTCTTTTTCTCAGGTTGTTAGCGTATCTTGTGAAACTAGGGTTGGTGCTTGGATAGATCATGTTTGCTAATGCCTATTCTCTGATGCACAGACCAGAAGCTCTGCACCTAGCAGATGCTGCCATAGTCCCGAGGCACCGTCTGGCAAGGTGAGCAATTGACTATCCGGTGGACCCTGTTTTCTTTTCTTCTTTACTTGTCAGACTGCTAGGCTTATATTGTGTGATTAGGCTTGGTACTTGGTTAGATTACATGTACTGATGACTCAAATCTCTGATGCACAGGCTGCCCTCACGGCAAAACAGGTTTAATTTTGGCAGACGCCTTTCGTCAGGCATGGTACGCAGTCTTTACCATTTTGTAACTATTTGATTCAACGGGGGCGACATGTTTTCTTTAGCGGCATTAATGATAGAGTTCGAAGTAAGAAGGACAGCATATAAAATGGCACAAAAAAAGGAGCAAAGCATAGATACCCTTCACATGGGCATACCAACCGGTGAGGGGGAGGGGCCAAGGGGGGCGCAAGGCATGTGTTGTCCCCCCCCCCTGCCACCCCCCTAAAACAGCCGCCACAAGGCAGGTTAAAGACTGGCCGGCGGCGCCCAAGGGATACCAAGAGCACTCCCCCCCCCCCCCCCCCCCCCCCCCCCCTTCCTGTCTCGAAAACAAGTTGGAACGCCACTGACCGTACATATTCCCCACGAACTACACCCCCTACAATACAGATACAACTACACATTGTATCTGTATTCCTGAATACTTTTTCACCAGTTTCGCAGAAGTGTCTCGGGGATATAGCATTGCATTAAAGACAATGTATCTCAGTATCTGTATTTTTGGCCTTAAAACAAATGTATCTCAGTATTCCCGAATACTTTTTGGAGTGTGTCTGCCCAGCCCTGGTTTATGGGACATTAATTTATTCTATCATTCTTATTATTTTCCAGGTACTTCGGGCAAATCAACCCATCTGAAGTGCGATACAAAAGTGCAACCAGTGGCATTGCACCGAAGTTGCGAACTCTTCAAGTGCTTTCACATCTGTGAGTGTACCGTCCTCCAATCATACTCCGTGTCACTAGTTGTGTGTAGTGCAGGGGCCCTAAACTCGTCAAACACAAAGCTGGGGTCGAAGTTCACGGAGCGCTCCGATTGGTCTATGCCGACGATGACTTCGCGTTTTTTTCGTCAGCGTCCAATCAGCGCACTCCGCGAACTTTCGGCTCCAACTTTGTGTTCGACGAGTTTAGGGCCCCAGGTGAATGCAACGGCCATGCGAAGAGAGAAAAGGCGAGCACTAGGAAGGCATATGGGAGGGGAGGGCAGGGCTGGGGGAGAGGGGGAAAGCACTATGAATGTTAGATAGGAGAGGAGGTTACTCTCCTCACTCGCCTTTCTAGCGCTTGCCCTTTCCCCTCTTCGGGCATTGCTTTAGCCTGTGCTGCGCGCAAGTTGTGACTCGGAATATATTCACCATTGTACAGATTATGATGCACTGGCAGGTAATAGATAACTGGGTAAAAATAATCTGCTCAGTGCTTGAAGACGCAGCTCGCGACTTGCTTGAACACGGCCCACAGGAAACCAGCTGCAAGCTCCCGTTCTCATAACGAGCATTACAAATGGCATGCATTATAGTATGTCGCTAATAGGCCGATCTCACCAGTTGGTTTGAGTACGCCACCGCTGCCGATATGCATCGTGGGAGCTGTAGTCTTTTTACACGCGCGACAACCATGCTGGAGGTTTGCGCGAGCAGACCACGAGGCAGCATGAGCTGTCGCGTGAACTGGAGTCTGCCTCCTACAAACTACAGTTATGGCGGCGTCACGCATGCGTGGAACGCTTGGTGAGATCGGTCTATTCATTTACGCTGGAAACGTAGCTATGCCCTTATAACATATCCACATAGTTAATGTAGTTTCGTTTTTATTTTTCAGGTGTTTAGTCTCTATTTTTCCTTCCCGTCTTTTTTTTTTTTAGTATTTAGCACCTGCACGACAATTCCGCTGGTAGGCTGCAACCACGAGCTCTTTGCCCAAGGATGCACTTCAACTGCATGAACTCTTGCTTGTCAGAAGCAACCACCAAAGGTAAATTCATGAACTCTGGATTCTCGCCCTCAGAAAATATCACCATTAAATTACAAGTATTCGCTCAGACTGGTGCTATCAGAAATTCTCAGAAAAGCAAAAGGCATTCTTTCGAGACATGTTGAGCTTGAATATATCCTGAGTGAAATAAGCAGCGGCAACAACAGTGTACTTGTTCTATTGTCCTCTTACAAAATGCCAGTATGTTGGCGGCAGTACCACTTTAATTCTTGTGATTGCATCAGGAAAGGGATAAGGGGAGCACTACAAATGAATCACGGCTAAAAATGTCACTGTCAAGATTGCAAGTTACAAAATGTGGAGAGCGCAAGGTCCCTTTAACAAATTTCTTGACCCCCATGCCTTACAGAAGCCCTCGATCTTCTGGGGGTGGGCTATCTGGCCTCTACACTCAAATGTGTTTGAGAGCACTGTTTTAGATGGTCCAAAATTTTGTTAAAGGAAGCTTGCATTAGGACACCTCTGATGTTGGCATTCGTTTATCTGGTTAGCCGCCACTGAGTACAAGGTTGCTTATGGCATTTTTCGGCTAATTTTGCATTTTATTAGTAAAAAATAAACACAGTTGCAATATGAAACAGGCTGGCATTGTTGAAAACCGCCAAAATCAGTTGTTTAAGTATATTGAAAACACATGCTTTTATCTGTGTTTTCGGTTTTCCAGCCTTGCACCTGTATCTAAAGTGGTAAACTTTTCACCCCACTATTCTTCAATGGTGTGCAAAATATTTATGAAGTTGGCTGAGTTCCTGGTTTTTGGTAATGCTCATTAAGTAAGGTGTGGGGCCTTGACAGTGTCCTATATGTATCTAATCAGGGTGTACAACTGGGTTTTGCGTTTCAGGAATGCTCCATGGCTCTTTTTGGTGGTCAACACCCAAGGCACAAGACTAAAAGATAAGACATGCAAAAAGATGAAGAAAGGAAACAAGCGACGTTTCTGGTGCATGCATTCAATGTGTACTTTTGCAGTATATGTTTCACCCAGTGTTTATGAGCAATAAATATGTAGGAACAGATACCAATTTTTGTAGCTTATTTTATAAAATATTGCATGATCCTGACAATGTTATATTCGCAGGAGTGACACAAAAGCTCTCGATTGTATTTCAGGTTAAAAAGTTAGGACGTCAAAATGATGCCAGGCCATATAATGAAATTACGATAGAATGTGGGATTGGCAGCTTAATTGTTTTTGGGTTGACAAATGGGACATGAAAATGACACAAAACACAGTCGTTTGACGGTTAAAAGCTTGGAAAAGAGCTGCAAAGACATTTCCTGTCAATTTGATGGAAAATGTTCTAGTGTTAGTTTTGTTGACTTCGCACATGTACACCTAAGAGTGGGGATTATCGGTTCCCAGTAAGTGAGAAGGGTGTGGAAAACGGTATATAAGTACACCTAAGAATGGGGTGCACCTGCATTCCCAGTAAGTAAGAAACGGAATATCTGTGCACCGAAGAATGGGGTGTATCAGTATTCCCAGTAAGTGAGAAATGGAATATATGTACACCTAAGAATGGGGTGTATGAGTATTCCCAGTAAGTGATAAACGGAATATACGTACACCTAAGAATGGGGTGTATCGGTATTCCCAGTAAGTGAGAAACGGAATACACGTACACCTAAGAATGGGGTGTATCAGTATTCCCAGCAAGTGAGAAACGGAATATATGTACACCCAAAAATGGGGTGTATCAATATTCCCAGTAAGTGAGAAACGGAATATATGTACACCCCGGGGTGGGGTGTGTCTTATGCACCCGCTGAGGTGCACCTCAAAATGAGGTGCATGTATGCACCCCTTTTTGGGGTGTCCCATATATACCCATGGGGGTGTCGTATATGGGACAAGTCACATACCCCACTGGGTGTAAGTACTACACCCCTTTTTTTAGAGCTGGGAATGTCCTTCACCCAGCAAACACAATAAGGTTTGTTGGTTCAACCTCTAGAACCGGGTATGGACCGAATGTGACCCACGCTCACGAATTTCCCTTTATCCTCAAACCCAGAATATCAAGTCTACGTTAGACACCAATATGTTTAATTTGTGAAAATATCTGCTTGAGATAAGATGCGTCCTGCTGGATTACGAGACGGGATGTCCAACGAGCCTGAATGTCCAACAAGACGGAAAATCCAATAATGAATATTCAGGCACGTTGGACATTCAGGCGCATTGGACATTCCGTCTCGGTTGGATCTTTCGTCTCGATGGACATTCAGGCTCGTTGGACATTCCGTCTCGGTTGCATCTTTCGTCTCGATGGACATTCAGGCTTGTTGTACATTCCGTCTCGGTTGGATCTTTCGTCTCGTTGGACATTCAGGCACGTTGGACATTCCGTCTCGCCTGTCACGTGCTAGAATAAGAACATTTAATGGCACAAAAGCCGACGTTGACGGACCTACAAAGAAACAGAGCAGACACAAATATTAGATTACGAGACGGAATGTCCAACGAGCCTGAATGTCCAACGAGACGAACGATCCAATAATGGATATTCAGGCACGTTGGACATTCCGTCTCGGTTGGATCTTCCGTCTCGTTGGACATTCAGGCTCGTTGGACATTCCGTCTCGGTTGGATCTTTCATCTCGATGGACATTCAGGCTCGTTGGACATTCCGTCTCGGTTGGATCTTTCGTCTCGTTGGACATTCAGGCACGTTGGACATTCCGTCTCGCCTGTCACGTGCTAGAATAATTTGCCCTCTTAAATGTACACCCTATTGAAAAAGGCCAATATGAACTCGGCTCATTGGAAATATTGTATTCCAATGAAGATGATGGAAACCAATAAAAACTTATTGTTATCCGATTAACCCAATACGCACGATGGGAATTCATATCGGAGCACAATATCCCGATATAGTATGCGGTTATTGGTATACAACAGGATATTGGAGCACAATATCCCGATATAACTTGCGGTTATTGGTATACAACACGATATCGGAGCGCAATACCCCGATATACTACACGGTTATTGGAATAGAATACGACATCGCGTGCATATTGGTGACCGACATGGACATACTGTACGGCCACACGATATACAAATATTGGTCGTCGATCATGGGACCAAAGGAGAATACAATATGATATCGCGTGCATATATCTCAGAACGCTGGTACCAAGTTACCAACATGCATTACGTTGGCATATCCACACGGCAATAAGCGAAAAATATATTGGGTGTGGATACAC